GTGATTAGTATTGACTAACTCAATATTTTTCTCATCTTCGCAAGTAAGATTTTTTCTTGACAAATCCCATGAAACGTCTGTGGAGTCAAGGCCTTCGTCAGGGAAAAGTTGAAAAATTCGGAACTTTCGGGAACAGACTCTCTGGTGGACTCTAGTTACTCAAATTATTTGTCAAACTATTTGTCAAATTATTTGTCAAATTATTTTGTCATTATTTGACTCAATTTATTTGTCTTTTACACGGCTATTATGAGTCCGTCTTAGGCATACTTTAAAAAAGAAGATAAAATTAAAAAAATTAAAATCTAAAATTTCCCAACAGCGTCGCAGGAACCTATGCGTCACCGGGTCCGGGGTCCAGGCGCGAATCTGCGCGGGACGAAATTCGAGCGTCTGCGTGGGTGTGACCACCAGCTCGTTCCAAGTTCGCTCTTCCTTTCGTCAAGATCCACCGTTGCCGGCCTGTCGAATAAAATCTCGGAATTTCTCCACCCATGTTTTCACCAGAAAATAAGCTGAATTTACGAGACCGTTCGACAACACTGGGTTTGATCCTCCGATATGTGTATTTACACCCGCCTATTGGGTCCGCGCTCGCATTAACCTAAATACATTGCGTGTTTCCTTACGCCCACTGGCGGAGTTGCCAGATCGCCTGATTCTCAACGGTTCGTCACTTTCGATTTTTAGAGCCTGATAAACACTGTCTAAAATATTTGTTTCTTGTGTTACTATTGGTTATTATAGCAAGTGAAACACAAACAAACACAAATTTTGTGATGCTTTCGGCACAGTTTGTAGTGAATTTTGCGCAAAAAAACCATGGAAATACTGGGAAACCTCAGAGTCAACCAAAGGCTTGAGTTATTTTGAGTTATGCTTCTCATATTAACACAAAATTTTGATTACTTTTTTAGTGTGTATACCGCTGGTTTATCTTGGCGCGACGTTTGACTTCAATACCTTGGATGGAACGTTATCATTTTGAAAATTCCTGCATTATTTCAATGGCCAAAGTGCGAAATCGCTTTTGCAAGTCTCCGTTTGCAATGTCCAAGATTTCCTGTCATTGTTTATTTCATCGGAAAACTAGTCACTTAATTTCTTCAAAACTTCCTTGATTCTTCATATTTAACAGCAGAATATTCCGTAGAAACTTCAAGTTTCATAGTTGACTTGTTTCTCTTTGAGAAATTAAAATGAGAGCAGAGATTTAGAAACACCACCATGAAGATACATGGTTTCGCACTGTAACCAATGATATTCGTAAATTGTTTTTTTGTTTGTTTTTTTTCTTCGTGGGGTGGGGGGGGGTGGCTCTACAAAATACTCCATGGTGACTAGGGCCCGGGAAGCCGAGATTTATCTGGGAAGGAAATCTCCGCTAGCGTCAGGGAACTCGTCAGGAATCGGAATATCGGGAACTCGCCCTCAGAGGCGGATCCGGCAATTTGGCAACACCGGATTCCCTCCAATTCAACCTATGTTAAATAATCGATTCTTGTCAGGACACCTGGCCCCTCCAAGAATCGATACATTTCCATAGGTTTAAATGGAGAGAAACAATGTTGCCAATTTGCTAGATCTGCCAATGCTTGCCCTCCTTCCCTTCCGAGCTCATCTTCTTCAATTATCTGGCGATTCACGTTTACTCCCCAAGAAAAACCAGGGACCCGATAGAGTAAAAAATCAATCAATTTTTTCCTTTTAAAATATGAAAATTTCGAAGAGACTGGGCGTAAGCGAGAGTGAATGGAACGTAAATTTTTTTTGCCCGCTGCATTTAGTTCTAAAATATAATCCCGCAGGCAATAATATGAAACTGTTTGGTGCTTTAATAGTGCATCGTGAAGGATTTCAAACCTTGGAGTTGAGAATTTCTCGAAACCGATAAGCATTCATGCCTATCTTCAATGGGGAAAAAATTGAAAATAAAATAAGAAAAAATTAAAAGTACTCATGACCCTCAAAACAACCTGGGTACGGTAAAGCGGAACTGTCTCTCTTTTTGAGTTTGGCAGTTTTCGAAGCAAAAAATCCGATCGCAGAATGTGCAAATCTCTAGAAATTTTGCATTCTTGAGGGCTGCATGTAGACTGCACTTGCTCCGGGACACCTCCTGAGAACACGTAGGCGCATCGTGACTTTCATTGTCCATGTTCTAGGTTGCCAAATTTCTTGAAAAAATTGCACATTTTTATCTTCATCGTTACAAGGTTGAGAAAAAAGTGGTAAAATTGATAAAAGCTGGCAAATACATTCTGCAGTCTGCACGATCGTCCGAATTTCGCGTGGGTTTGACATCATGAGTCAGGGCCCTGCAAATACTAGGAAGATACGGATAATCTATACTGCCCTGCTGAGGAAGAACGCCGTATGAACATTCGAGAGTTGCAAAAATCCCCGGACAAAACATGCATTTCTGAGGAAAGCTGTGCATATTTTCCCTTGAAATGTCCAGATACCGAGATTTAATTACAAACAAAATCATCCGAACAATTTGAAAAAAAAAAAATATTCACAATTTTTGCGGTAAACTTGATTTATATTGGAGGTAATCTGGCAATGTCTGAAGGCTCACACGGCGTTCCTCCTTAGCATGACAGCATTCCCCAGCGAACTTCTTAAATAATCCTAAAAACTGGCCGAATTTGAGTTCGTAGCATCGCTGAGCGAGTGCAGACCCGGGAAGAACACCCATCCACAGGTGCTTTGGGAGTGGAAAACGGGACCACGCAATCGAAATCCGATACCTTATAACCCAACAATGGGTTTGTAATGTCGCGGGTTGGAAGAATGTCACGTATGGCTACGTGGGAGTGTCGTTAGACTAAGACCCTTCTTCCCTAGACACGGTCGGTGTTGTCGAATTGCGGCAAATTCTTTCCAGTTCTCTCCTCGCTGAGCCGCGATCTTTGAATGAGTCGTTTCTTGTTACAAGATCGTCTCATTTTGGGCTGAAAAAGGGGTGTCTACTGGCAATAAAAACCGGAAATTCGATTTCATCCCGAAAATTCCCGAAAATTCAGGAAAACCGGTCATTGATCCAGAAATTCTGAGTGCTTCAAGTATTTCACAAACATCTAAGTAAATTCATCAAATACTTTGAAACAGTATGTACGTAATTTATTCACGCAGAAAATTAGGAAATTTCAGATTGAATATCAGGTAAATTCAAAATGAAATTTTAGTAGACACCCTGTTCAAGTGTACACCTTATCTTATACAATTACTAATTGAATAAGTATCGATCTAATTATGTTGTTCAAAAATTGAAACATATAATATATTTTATATCATTATATACAGTTATTAATGTATCTGCAATGTCAACAATAATTGTTGTCCTTCTAATGGTCGAATAATGCAATTTTAACCATTTACCATCTACAAATGAGGTTTAGAGAGTTCTCGGCAGAACTCTCTCACCAGAGAAAAATACAAAATACCAGGTAAAAATACAGAAACTGACTCCAAGCTTTTCCATTTCTTACTCGTCTTAGTTCCAAAGTCTAACAAGTGGGCATTACCCTAATTATTTTATCTCGCACGTTCGGAAGAAGAAAATGCGAGTAAATTTAGAGCTAAAACATATAGTACGATAATTTGACTACTTTCTGAAATTAGGAACAACAATTTCTGGCTCAGTTCAATAACAACGTTCCTCCATAGACTTGCGTGTTTTTACGGATGTGCCAGATATTGCAATTCCTAATTGCAAAATGTAGTCCAAGTATCGTAATTTTACATTCACAACGAAAAAAACCTATGTTTACAAGAAACACTGAAGCCATCGCTAGCCATACAAAGACTCGTAATCTTTATACCGAAGACTCCGGTTGTGCTAATCGAAATTCAGTTTCTATGACTGGAAACTTTGGTTGCCCGGACTGAAAACATCGGTATTCCTCATGAACCGAAAGGTCCGCGCAACCGAAGTTTTTTTTTTCTCCTCGCTGTCTTGTGGAAAACTACGTTTATGGAAAATGACCGCCGCACACAGAGCACCACCAGAGGCGGATCCAACCATTTGGCAACATCGGATTCCCTCCTTTAAACCTATGTTAAATTATCGATTCCTGTTGGAGCACCTGATCCCTTCAAAAACCGATAAATTTCCATAGGTTTAAATGGAGAAAAACATTGTTGCCAATTTGCTGATTCCGCCAACGAGCCACTTCGCAGAATTTCACCTACTGCTCTTCACCCACAGCGGGATCGAGCTAGAGTACCTATATTGAGAGAGTATGGCCACTGGAGTTACCACCTCTGATTGGCTCAGCCATCTTAGGCTGAATGGAGCCCTTAGGACCCAAAAATGGCGGACGCCATAAAGTTAACGTAATGCAAAATGGACGTATTTATGCTAAAAGGAGATATGTGCAAGTGGAAAGATGGGGTGTGCTCGTTAGTTGGGTCATAAGAAACAATGTAAAAGTGGATATAGCTCCTTTTGAGAAAATTGAAAAGTGGGATTTGACATTAAATCAAAAGGAGCTAAGCGGCAAAATATGCTAACTCATGAGCCGCGGGCCTGGCAAGAGAGCGTTGTGGACAGGGCTCATGAGTTAAAGACGCCGGACGGCGATCCCGATCCCGAAACCGTCACCGCACTCACCGCTGACGTCACTGGCGCTTTATATTCCCCATTCATTCTTATGGCCCGACCACTAACGAGCACACCCCATCTTTCCACTTCCACATATCTCCTTTTCGCATAAATACGTCCAAATGATTCAAAATGTAGTTGTCTTTGCTTATCGTAACGAGAACTTTACCCAAATGCACTATTGCGACTTTTTTACATATTTTTGAGGCTAATCGTGTGCAATTTTTGAGAAAAATGATCTTAGATGTAGTAAGGTTGGCAGCAAGTGCGGTTGGTGATAACCGTCAAAAGTTGGCAATGACCCCCCTCCCATCCTCAAAAACCAAAACGAAGCACCGCCATTTTTGGATTCTAAGCCTCTCCATGGGACCCAGTGGCCATACTCTCTTAATATAGGTACTCTAGATCGAGCGATTACTGACCGCTTGCTTTTTCTTCTTCTCTATCCGCGCCATGAGTTTCGAGATCTGCGCGAGGTGCATCTCCATCTCTCGGAAGTCCTCCGTGATGTTCCGCTCCTCGTCGGACTCCCTTCTTCCCGGAAGGGAGTACCCCTTCTCTTTGCGGAATTTCCTCGGAGGGAAGGTCCCGCGACCCCTCATCCCCGACTGATCGAAGCCCCCGCCGAACCGTGGCCGTTTGTCCCTGTCCTTGTCGAGCCGGATCATGATGAGGGACGAGTTGTCGCCGTGGAACTGCGTGATCTCGGGGTATCGCCCCGGGTCCAACGCTGGTCCGTCATGGGAACCTGGAGTGAAGACAGATTAGTGATGAAGACAGCTGATGGTCATTGATAGACAAAGCGATAGACAAAGGAAACCTGTGGACTGATTATTGAAATTGATAGACAAAGCGATAGACAAAGAGGATATAGGGAGTATGGAGCGATCTTATTGGTTGCAACTGGTGGTTCTTACAAACTGAGAGGGAAAATGATGGACTAACTGCCTGGTCTCTTGTCGGTTGCTGTTAGTTAGTCTATTGCTTACCTCGTTTGTCCATTGCAACCATCCGCTTCCACCAGTAGGATCTCACCATATCCCTTTTCTCTTCTTTGTCTATAGCTTTGTCTATCAATTTCAATAATCGGCCCGTTGTGAGCTGATTATTGAAACTGATAGACAAAGCTTTAGAAAAAGAAGACAAAAAGTATATGGAGGGATCCTATCGGTGGAAGCGGGTAGTTGCAATGTACAAAGGACCTGCGTAAGACAGATTGGTGATGAAGACAGCTGATGGTCATTGATAGACAAAGAAGACCTGTGGGCTGATTGTTGAAACCTATAGACAAAGCTATGGACAAAGAAGACAATAAGGATATGGAGGGATCCTATTGGTGGAAGCGGGTAGTTGTAATGGACAAAGGACCTGCGGAATTGATTAACTATAACGGCAACCCACAAGAGACCCGCTAGTTAGTCCATCATTTACGCCCTTAGTCTGTAAGAACCATCCATTTCAACCAATAGGATCGCACCATAATCCTTATGTCTTCTTTTTCTATCGCTTTGTCTATTAATCTCAGCGTATATCTTATCATCCTCATTATGATCATCTAACTCCCCCCCCCGTCT